AAGGCACAGAGACTATGAAAATGAGATTTTGCCACTTTTAAGGGCTGCACTGCAGTAGGCAGGCAGGCAGGTGTTGCTCATTGGTCAGGGGCTAGAGCTCTGCACCCTCTATTCTTTACAATAAAGGATCGCGGAGCCCCCTTCTGTAACTGCCACATAGCCAGACGTTGGTGCCCTTGGGACGTTTGGCAGGAAAGACAGGACCTCATTATATCTACAGTGGAGAGAAACGTGGACCCTGAAGTAAATTAGCAAATGCCACAAAAGGTGTCTGGAAACAGATGCTGGAAACCCAAACTTAAAAGCAAGTTATTCTGGTATGTCTGTAGTAGTTCAAAGCACCGGCCTTGTTTTGCTTTAACGGTTATGTGCTGGGAGCAGATTCCAGGCCTTGTGCATGCTAAGCAAGCTCCCCGACACGGAGCTACGTCCCCAGCCCAGAATTGAGGACTGAGACAGGATTGCGGAGGCTGGCTTCCCCCAGGAACACAGCCATCAAGGACAAACCCTACCCAACTTCTCTCCAGCCCTGCTGGTCCCCAGGGCACTCTGCCATGGAGCGGGGACATCTTCGGTTTGCCCTGTTCTGTTCTGTGTCCCATCTGCCTCTCAATTAACAAGGTGAGGACATAAAAGGAATAAAGGCCAGGGGCCGACACAGTAGGCGATGGTCAAGAGGCCGTTCCCCTGGCCACAGCTGTGAAATCCGGTGCGGAAGCGGAGCCATCCACTTCCTGGGCCTCAAGATCCCCTCGTGTAAAACTTAAGTCACCCCCAACTGACCGACAATTTGACAGGCTCTACAATCACCTAGCTGGAGCTGGAGCCTCTGGGAATGTCGACAGGGGAGTTTCCTGGACTGAATAAAAATTAAAAACAAGCTGATCGCTAGTGCTCCATCTCTGCTTCCCAACTCCAGATGCAGAGTCACTCCTGCGGCCTTGCCTGATGGACTGGCCACGCCCCCGAAGCCTGAGCTCCAACAAGCCCTTCATCTCTTGAGCTGCTCCTGGTCAGGTGTTTTGTCATAGCAACAGGAAAAGAGCGAATGAACAGGAGAGCTGGCTGGGGCTCTGGGCACTGGGGCGGGGGGAATGAGGCACAGGAGCGCAAGCTCTCACTTGGCCTCCAAGTTGGGCGTGGGTGGCTCGGCTCACTCTGGCCCAGCCCATAATACCCATAATAATGGCTGACCTCTCCCCCCGAGTTCCTTGGGAAGGTATTTTCTGAGAAGTCATAGGTAATTACCTTAGTCATGGGTTCAACAGGGGCTATTGCCTGAATAGATTACATGGATAATCTCTTTGCACCCAGTGAGCTAATCTGTTTAGGAAGCTGGCACGCCCATTCGAACATGAGCAATTCTCCCGTGCTTTGATTCTTCCAAAGTCCAGGTCTGCCACTGCCTGGACACGACACAGGACGAATGCACACCCTACTCCTCCTGAGCCCTGTGGCCCTCTCACTGGCTCTCCCGGCTCCCCTCTTCTCTGCCCAAAGCTCACCCGGTCTCCTAACCCCCTCAAGCCCCCTCCCATTCCTGGAGAGCCGCTCTGAGCCGCCCCCAGCGCTCGGACTCCTGACCTCAGGTGGCGCACACTCACCAGGAGCATTCTTTCCTCCGTAATGCAGCCTTGCGTTAAACGCCGCCATGGCGATCACAGTGAAGGCCCACTTGTGTCAACCAGCGTCACAGACCCCGGGGCCATTGCTCATATTATCCTCCTTTTTATTGCATGTCTACCGCTAAACACGGGAGAATTGTGCTTCATAATAAAACTCATCTTCAGCGGGGCGGTGGTGGCGCACGCCTTTAATCCCATCACTCGGGAGGCAGAGGCAGGCGCATCTCTGTGAGTTCCAGACCAGCCTGGTCTACAAGAGCGAGTTCCAGGACAGCCTCCAAAAGCCACAGGGAAACCCTGTCTCGAAAACCCTAAATAAATAAATAAAACTCATCTTCAGGTCTACTGAGAAGAGCTGGTATTTTCAACACACTCCATGACTGATAAGAAACTTCCAGGAGTCCTTCAGGTAGCCCAGGCATAACCAGTCTTTGTCCTGAGTTAGAGATGGAGTGTCAATTTAGCATGTGGGATCTGTCCGCCTCTCTGTATTTCCTGCCTCCAACGCTCTGAGCACCTGCACACCCAGTTTGCTGGATCTATGAGAACAGGAAGTCTCAGAAGCAATTCCTTCTTCCAGGAACAATAGCACACACCTGTAATCCCAGCATTTGGGAGGTTGAGGTATGAGAATCTTGAGTTTGAGGCCAATCTGGGCTACAGAGCAAAACCTTTCCTCCAAAAGGAGAACTAGGAGGGGGATGAGGGAGAAGAGGAAGAGGAGGTGACAATTCTGTTTGCTTCCTCCAGAAGAGGCAGGTCCTCAGGGCCCATGTGGCCTGACATTCCTTATCTAAAGTTGGAACGTATGCCAGCATCCTCTGACCTACCTCACTGGGACTGGTGTTTATGATGGGAGTGCCTTCCTGTCCATGTTTACTTCAATGCATTCTTGCCGGCAAACATTTTCTTTTATGGGGAAAGACATGGGTATATGGTGCTGATGGGCAATTCACCTTTCCCTCACTGCCTGAGGTTGGCAAACAGCTATCATAGGGCTCTGACGGGGAGATCTGGGGCCTCTCTTGCCGAGGAGAGCCCAAGCAGAGGCCAGTGACCAGCAATGACCGATGGGTAGAATCGGGAGTCCTGGGGCTGCTTCCAACCTCACAGCTCTGTGAGTTCCCTTCCCAGCCCCGGGGAGGAGGGACAAAGGAGAGAAGCCCCAACTCCCATTGGCCAGATCAAACCTTGAGGGTCTCCTGGGCAGATAGCTTGTTGTCTTCTTAACTGAGCGGCATGTTCCATAGCACCTACAGCTTCCTGGATTCTGCTCCTGTCTCCACGATGATCAGGCCACAACTCAAAAGTCTCTTGCATTGTCAGCCAGGCCTCCATGACTCTTCCCTGGGAAACTGAGGTCACAAGGGGGTACAAACAGAAGACTTGAAGTCACCTGAGATAACACAGAATGCTAGAGAAAGGGGTGCCTCTACATTGAAGAGCTCAGTTGTGATGGTCTGTGGATCCCAAGGAACCCTGGAATCAGGGACTGCAGGTGGACACCTCAGCCCTGGGGGACTGTTGGACACCTCAGCACTGGGGGACTGTTGGACACCTCAGCACTGGGGGACTGTTGTTGGACACCTCAGCACTGGGGGACTGTTGTTGGACACCTCAGCACTGGGGGACTGTTGGACATCTCAGCACTGGAGGACTGCCTCTAAGCAACAGCCCGGTTTCTGGAAAAACCACAAGCTGCAGATCACACCAGCCTTGGTGTTTCCCTCTCCTCACACATACCTAGCAAGGCAGCAGGCTAAGTTATTATCTCATTTGAATTTTCTGTTGTTTTGATACCCCGAATCGATAAAACTCTCTCCTGGTCACCACAAAGCAGGGTAGAAGGACCTGGAATGTGATCTGCTCTGATCAGGCAGAAAACCTCTTTTTTCTTGTCTTCCCTGGGCAACGGTTCCCTCCCCCTAGCAAAGGCATCAGCACTGGGAGTCACTCAGGGCCACCAATTTGGGTGAAGTATCTGTTTGCATAATCCACTTTTCTCCTAGAGCTGTGAAAGTAATTGCTCATTCATCTCTGGCAAAGGAGACCATTACTGCGATTTGGATCTAATTTAAATGCCAGCTCCATTTATGAGCCCTCAATTCATTAAGCTGTCAAGGCAAACAGATGGTGCCTCTAATCGGGGTGAGGTTAGAACGCTTGGAGAGCATGGAGATGAGTCAATAAAAACCTATTTGCAATGCCATTGAGTGCGGTGCTCCCTCCTAGAAGAGGCACCTCACCTGAGAATTAGCAGATCACAAACAGTTCTGAAATCCTTGTTGGGGGGGGGGAGGTTGGCATTCTAGGCAGACTGTGGTTATGGAAGAGTACTTTAAACGATAGGCAATCGGGAGGGTCCAAAAGCCCACTGCAGGCTGGGCGTGGGGGTGCACACCCATAATCCCAGCACTGCAGAGGCTAAGGCAGCAGGACTGCTAGTTCAGAGTCAGCCTGCACTTGAGTGAGGCTGTCTTAAACGGGAAAAAGGAAAAGCCCTATGCAGCTCCAATAGCTGGCGGTGCAGTCAGTGTCTCTGCACGCGGCCGCTCACCTGACAGTGCAGCCAGTGTCGCTGCACGCGGCCGCTCACCTGACAGTGCAGCCAGTGTCGCTGCACGCGGCCGCTCACCTGACAGTCAGTGTCGCTGCACGCGGCTGCTCACCTGACAGTCAGTGTCGCTGCACGCGGCCGCTCACCAACAGTGCAGCCAGTGTCGCTGCACGCGGCCGCTCACCAACAGTGCAGCGGGTGCCGCTGCACGCGGCCGCTCACCTGACAATGCAGTCGGTGTCTCTGCACGCGGCCGCTCACCTGACAGTCAGTGTCGCTGCACGCAGCCGCTCACCTGACAGTGCAGCCAGTGTCGCTGCACGCGGCCGCTCACCAACAGTGCAGCGGGTGTCGCTGCACGCGGCCGCTCACCTGACAATGCAGTCGGTGTCGCTGCACGCGGCCGCTCACCTGACAGTGCAGCCGGTGTCTCTGCATGCGGCTGCTCACCTGACACTGCAGCCGGTGTTGCTGCATGCGGCTGCTCACCTCTGCAAAGAAGCCTAGAGTCACTCACCCAGAGTTCTAGGGTTTGGTGGACCCTTCTGTGTGCGGGACACCAGCAGGCCCTGCAGTGACAGAAACACGGATACAGCAGCAGTTCTTAATCCTGGGTGCTTAAGGCAACACTCATAACTCATAACTACACTCCAACGTCGAGTGTCAGTCCTGGTGCAGGTCCCAACCAGGGACCCCAGGAGCAAAACTGCTCTGCTCGTTCCTTTGGGGAGGGTTGTCTTCCTGAAGGGTACAGAGAGCCTTGCTTGCAGGTCAACGCTCTTTGTACATGTGCAAATAAAGATTATAAAAATAAACCATTCCTTTCAGTTATGTTTATTAAGTTACAAGCTTTATCATGTAAAATGTCAACAGATAACCCATCTACAACTGAATATTAAAGGAGAAAACTCTGCCTACTTGCCATCTACTGGGAAAAATAATGACCAGATATATGCGGTGTCAAATTATAGGCATTTTTACGGTACTGAGTGTTGAATGTAGAGCTTTGTGGGTCGCTAGTCAACAGCTCTGTAGCTGAACTATTTCTCCAGTCCACCCTCCCGACTGTATTTTAGTTTTAAAAACTTTGTCACTAGTGTGTATATTGTGCATACGTAATGTGCATGGGTACACATGCCAAACACACGTGTGAGGGTCAGGGGACAACGCTAGGAGGTCATTTCTCTCCTCCCACCTTTACATTGGTTTGGGATCTAAGTCAGGGTGTCAGGTTTTGGTGGTCTCACTGGCACACGTTTTTCGACCTTGAAATGGTGTCTCAGCACCCAGGGAGGCCTTGAACGCGCCGTTTCCCTGACTCCGCCTCCCAAGAAGGCCATAAAATTGCACCCCCACACCCAAAGGAAAATTAGATGGAGTAAGTGTGCACGTGCTGTTAACCCCAACTTTAAATGTTTGTGAACTAAAAGAAGTAAGGGAACTTCGGCTTGAAAAACACTGCATTTCCCTTTCTTGCCCACCTGGCCACTACCAATCCCAGAGAATTGAGAGTGCAATCCATGTGGTACAGGCCAGTTGAAGTCAGGAGGCTGAGGCAGGAGGATCACACGTGTAAGGTCTACTTAAGCTAGTCTGAGATTAAGACAGGCCCCAGCTACTTAACAAGAGCCTGCTAACTAGGGTCCAAAAGATGACTGAAAAATGAAGGGAGTCTGAAGCCCGGCAATGAGCCCATGCCCGCTTTTAAGTGACAAACTCCATTTATTTAAAATGCCATTGCTAAAGCTACTGTGTCAAGCCTAACATTCACCTTCCTGTGCAAAGATGGTTGGCGTCACTGCTCACATACAGTCCTGGTCAGAACACAGTTCTACGGAAGGAGAGCCGGTCTCATTTCTGCCACAGATGATTCTTACATGATGTTTGATACATTTTATCTTTAATTGTGTGTATACGCGTCTAGGTGTGGGATGCGCTCTACCCGAGTGAGGTGCTTGAGGTTCCCAAGGTTGGGGGGGGCTGTAGTCAAGGACAACTGAGAGTCACCGAACATGGGTGACCAATGCACTCTGACCCCTGAGCCATCTTCCCAGGCTCCAGCACCCTAAATCTTAGAGGGCTGAATCCTCCTGCTCAGACTGGCTGGGTGTAGAGAAAGGAAAAAGTGGCATCAGGGACATGTCTGGGTTTCACGTTTGGTACTCAGGATGGATAGCAGTTCCAGCAGCCAAGTCCCAGAAGTTAGGAGAAAGTGCAGGCTTTGGGGACAGGCACGTGGGAGTACAGGGAAGAGGGGGGCAAAGACGGTCAGTTCAGTCTGGTGGGAGTCTGGGGGATTCCAAGGTGGAGGTGTCAACACAGGGTTGATAGGCAGTCCTAGAATTACAGCAAGCGGTACAGCAGAGAGGAGGAAAATCAGTTTCAGAACATCACTCCTAGAGGAGGAAGAGGCAGGAAGAGTGCAGGGCATCCTGGAATGCAGCATGGCCCAGGCTTAGAGAATGTAGAGCCTGTGACAGCAATTAAGAGGAAAGACCATAACAGAAGGATACTGAGGAAAGATGCCAAAGAATGTTCCAGGATGTCCACGCCGTGGAGGAGTCTGGGCTGTGCCTGAGAGACTGCAGGACATCTACGGAGTGATGCCTTTCAGCATTGTAGGTTCCGCTGTGTGGATCAGCACAGAAAGCAGGCTAGGGGAAGTGAGTGCAGGAAGGGTAAAGAGGGCATGGACGCCTTCCTTCCCCCTCCAAATTTGGTGAGACAAGAGTAGAACAAGCACCACCAAAGGAAGAGTCAGACCGGTGTGACGAGGTTATCCCAGCACCGAGGAGGCTGAAACAGAAAGATTGACAAGAGTTTGAGGTCAGCCTGGGGCACAACAGATTTTATCTCAAAACAATATAGGGGCCAGAGAGCAACTCCTTAGTCAAGAGCACTGGCTGTTCTTCAGGAGGACCGGAATGTGGTGCCCAGCTCCCACCCCATCTGACTCACAACTGATTACAACTCCAGCTCCAAGGGGATCCCATATCTCAGGCCTCCTCAGGCACCTGCACTCATATGCATGCACACACACACACACACACACACACACACACAGAGAGAGAGAGAGAGAGAGAGAGAGAGAGAGACGTGCACATAAATAAAAATACAGTCTTCAAGAAGTTATAATTCTACTCCTTGCTGCCTATCTTCATTGTCAACCTGACTGGATTTAAAGTCATCTAGGTGGTGAATGAGGCATGTCCAGGAGAGAGCTTCCAGACAGCACTAACTGATGTGAACGAGTGACGTCATCCAAAAGCTGGAGGCCTCCCCTTTCCCCTCTTTCTGGTGTTCCGTGGTGTAGAGAATGTCAATGCTTGCTGTCGCCACGAACTCTGACAGGCAAACCCTCTGAAACTGTGAGCCAAAACAGACCCCTCTCCTCAAGAGGATTCTGTCAAGGTTTGTTTTTGTTACAGTGACACAAAGTAACTGATACATATCCTCTGTTCTTGGTGTCTGATATTACCACCTAGTGATGGGGGAAGTCCTTCTGTGTATACGTTGTCTTACTGGCTGATAAACAAAGCACTGTTGGCCAATAGGGAAACAAGATAGGTGGGACTAGGAGATGAGGAGGATTCTGGGAAATGTAAAGAGTAGGAGTTACCATGTGATCCCCGGAGGAGAGGACATGTCAGGATGGCGTCCTCAGAAAAATAAGTCCTTATAAAAATACATATTAGTATTATGGGTTAATAATTAAGTCAGAGCTAGCCATTAAGAAACCATAGCAAATGGCCAACGGCTTCATAATTAATATAGTGTCTCGTGTGTTATTTGGGGACAGAGACAGTGGCAGGACCCAGACAGCTGGTGGGATGGGGGGTGCACATTACATATGGCGCCCAACTTGGGGCTGAGTCCACCTTCAGGGGGGAGACAGGCAGGAAAATGGGGGAGGGTGCCCCCTCAGGGTAAGCAGCTCCCCTGAGGGCACCTGAGGGGAGGATTCCAATGGGCTACTGCTCTTGGCTCTAAAAAGGCTGATTCTGTTATCACACACCTCTTAGAGATGGTAGCTATTATGGGTATACCTGCACAGATAAAAACTGACAATACTCCAGCATATGTCTCCAGAAAACTGGAACAGTTTTTCAAATAATATAACATAAAACGCATAACTGGTATACCATACAATCCCACAGGACAAGCAAGCAGTGGTTGAGAGATCTAACCACACTTTAAAAGAAATGCTCCATAAACAGACAGGGGGAACAAAGACCCCCAAACACAGATTACATAATGCTTTATTAACATTAAACTTCCTTAATGCTAATGAGAAAGGACAAACAGCTGCAGAAAGACACTGGACTACAAAGAAACTTCTGAACTAAATCAGCCAGTGTATTTCAAGGATGTAATGACCTCAGTTTGGAAATCAGGATATGTGTTATGTTGAAAAGGGGGTTTGACCTTTGTTTCCACAGGAGAAGAAAAGCTTTGGATTCCATCAAAACTGATCAAGATTTGATCTGAACGGGAGAAACCTCAGGAGGAGGATGTGGCAAGCAGGTCAGTTATGGGGCTTTGGGGCTACAACACTTCTCAATGATCCGGGCGAAGGATTTAAATGAAGACAATGACAGCAGCTCATTCTTGCAAGTAGAATGACATTGATTGTTAACAAGAGCAGAACATTAAATACCAGTAGCAGGCATGGTGGAAAAACTACCAAGGTCAGGAAGTCATGTTCCTAGAGCCCTCCAGCAAAGGATGGAAGGACAACAGGAACTTGCATTCAGGCTACCTGGGAGGAGGGGTCAAGAGGTATTTTGCTGGAAGCTCCTAGTCACAAGCTGGTCAGCAGACCCCCATAGGGGAAGGGTGCAACAAATCCCTTTTTTTATATAAGTAAAAAATGAGCACCTGGCTTAGGTTGCCCAGGACATTAACATCTTTTTACCCGTCATCGAGAAGCCTGCCCAGGCCCTGCAGACCCTCTGTCTTAGGTTAACAGATGTCCCTGAGTCTTACCTGTCATTGATTGTTTATTTGTCTTGCTGGCTCACCCAGGCCTGCACCGAGGGGTTATCTGCTGCCAAGGAAAGCATGATCTGCTTTGTATGAAAATGGTGCTGGGCTTGTAGCCTTCCCATGCAGCAAAGGTAGACTAAGGCTAAGACTGTGCTGCCCGGGGCCATAATCCATTCCTTAAGTAACTGACCTGTCAGCTGCAGTCCCATTAAGAGGGGGTCTTCTGAAAGGGGAGGCACCCTGGTCTCAATTTGAGTAGCCAGTTAAATCATGTAATTTATGAAATTTCCATTTGTTGATTAAGATTTAAAGTGCCCAACTGTACTAGAGAATTAATATTATTTCGGGAACTTAAGATAGAGGCAACTTCCCCAGAGAGTTTATCCAGCATGCCTGCTGTGGCAACTGGCTAAGAGATAGGGAAGCCAGAAACTGTAGCTGCCATGATGTCAAAGTCTCTCCCATGTCGTGTGAGGACGAGTTGGTTCTTTCCTGAGTGTTCCACTGGAAAAGGCATGACATCAGGTACATGGACCACCAAGGCTGATATTTCACCATTCCAACAGCTTCTCAAGCGGCATTCCTGGAGGAAATCATTAAGCATTTCTCCTGAGGGAGTGTTATTAAATATAACAAATGTCTAAGCAGGCCCAAGGCCTGCGAAGGGACACACCTGAGAAGGTTGGTGTGACCTGGCTCAAAAGAGAATCTATTAAGTAGGTCCTGTCAACACCTAGGGTCAGGCAAAAGGGGGTGATCTTAAGGCCAATAACAGAGGCATTAGGGAAAAAAAATCAGCAATGGATGAATTGTTTAAAACTATGTAGCCATGTAGCTAGGTATACCTGACTCTGAAGACCCGCCAGCATCAGGACAGGCGGGTTCCTCATTAAAGCACAGTGGGTCTATTGACCGCTGATGAGTATCAGCAGGAACAGAGCACACACAACGCTCCAGAACCCAAACTGGGGACTCACCGTCCTTTGGGAAGACACAAATAGACCCCTGGGTCCATACCAAAACCGGATCTGATCCTTTTTAAATACCCGAGGTTAGGTCTTTCCATTTAACTAGAGGTTTTTGCTGTACAGCAGACCGCCAATGACGGCCTGCTGAGGAGTAGCCAGAAGCATCCACAATTAAAAATTTTAAGATATAGAGGGTAAGTGATAGAGTAGAGTGAGGAGAGCCAAGGTGGCCCCCAAGGTCCCCCTTCTTAACCTTAGCCAAATAGGTTTTTAAGTCGCTTAGACCAACATGGGTTGCCAGTTTCTCTTGTAAGTGCCTTCCACAATGAATAGTCATCCTTACCCTTCTAAAGTGTGCGATTCATATCACAGGGACAACCTAGATCACGTAATTCAATCTTATGTGATGCTCAGTAAAAAAAAAATACTGTGTATACGTGCAAGCATGTGTGAGTGCATTTGCATGCACGAGAGAGAGAGAGAGAGAGAGAGAGAGAGAGAGAGAGAGAGAGAGAGAGAGAGAGAGAGAGAGAATGAGTGAGCACTGACCCATGAGAGCAAGTGTGGAGCCAGCTGCCACTCTCCAGATGCCTCCTCAGCTGTGCTCCACCTTATTGAGACTGGTCCTCTCACTAAACCTGGACTCAAAGTCTCGAGAGACTGGCTGTTGGATCTGCCAGCCCCCATCCTCTCCAGTGTGAAGCTGGGACTGCATATACATACTACTATGCCCAGCCTTTTTACTTGGGGGCTGGAGATCTGACCTGGCACAATCACCGAGTTGTCTCTCTGGCCACTGACGGATCGTTACGTTGATGAGTATCCAAGTTCTAAGAAGGTAAGTAACTTCTTTGAGGTCCCAACAGGAATTCTAGTGGTCTTCAAACACACATCTTCTGACACCATAAACAGCAGCAATCCTGAATCCCGAGTGACCCCAAACTCCACATTTTTTCTAACTGGCACTTACTAGATGGAAACTGTGCTAAATACATCAGTGAATAAATAAATTCAACACTAAAATATTTAAAGTATAATATTTTAGTTTCTGGTTACATAAACACATAAATCCTACTGCCCTTTTGGCTACTAATAGAAACATTTTTTTACATGGTTGACTAAAAGCAGGGGTATAAAATAAGAATTTATGTGAACTAGAGATAAAATCTACCTTTTCTTCACTGCTAGTATACCAAACTCCTTATGAGCGTCCTATATTTACAGGTCCTATGCATATCTTGGGTAACCAATACTGTATTTGTAGGTAGGACCTAAAGGAATACACACACACTGAAGGGGGTTAGAAATGCCATGACTGTTTGCACATCACGGATGGCACACCAGACTACACGCAGACTGATGTTACTTACTACTTCCTCTTAGAGATCTGTCAGGAGCATCCTATCACAGATGAAGGGAGAGGTACATAGGTTTCTCCCAAATCATTCAGCTCAGAGACAGCAAAGTGAACTCAGTCTGTGGACAAACCCAAGCAGACATCTCTTTTCCAGTCCATTTTACTCCTCTGCCAAGACCTGCAAACGTTCTCTGCTCTTGCCAACATCCTGCTTGAATACTCTAGCCTTCAAGTGAAAACGCTATCCAGTTTAGGAGGTGGTCCAGGGTCTCAAGCAGCATTCCTGAAAGTTGCTGTGTAGTCGAGGATGACTCCTGCTGTCTCTACCAGCACACCCAGTCTACACCCTGCTGGACACTGAACCCAAGACTTTGGGCATGCTAGCCAAGTAGTCTACTAACTGTCTTCCTTCCCAGCCCCCCACTCCTGGTGTTTTTCAGAAAGGGTCTCATGTAGCCCAGACTGGGCTCAAAACTTGCTCAAAA